AGGAGCGGGCCGAGGACTTAACAGTATTAAGCATACAGAAAACTGTTGAGGTTAGTGAGGAATTTACATATAACAAATTATTAACGAATGATGGCAAGGAGGAAGGAATGAAACAACGAAGCAAACAAAGAGAAAAAATGAAAACTACTTAGAAAATGGGTATAAGAATTTGGCAAATTAGAATAAAAAAGTTGGGGAAAAAGAAAATAAACTTTTTATGGGTAAATTGACTTGGGGCCCCATGTTTTGTAAAATTTATAACTAAATATGTCTTAGAATATTGATATCCGGTCATTTATCTGCAGGGGTACCCAAAATTAACTTTCTAATTTTTGTGTACCCTTAAATTTCTCTGTTATATGTTCTCTTATTTTTTGTAGCAGGTGCGCATGCACAGCAATGAACACATTTTCAGACGTTCTAAACTCTCCGGATCTCCGACTGCGCCAGTCGCTCTGTGCGCTTGGAACAATTGGAGAACTGCAGAGCGAAATTTCACGTTGATATTACATTTTTTAAGTTAAAATTTGTTGATAACATTATTATATTAGTTGAAATTTGGAGAAAATAGAACACTTTACACTAAGGTTTTCATGCTTAATGCGTATTTCGAGTGTAACGTGCTAAATATCCATCAGAAAGATTTGTTTTAATTATGGAGCAAAATCAAACACTTTATATCCAATAAACTTCTTCCGAAAGTCTTTCAGTTTTCGAGATAATTAAATACAAAGAACGTTAGGCGTAGAATTCTGAAGTTACCACAAGCAGTGCTATTCCGAACAAAACCAGAGGTTGCCATAATTTTTATTTTTAATAATCATTAAATCATTAAGCGCAGCTTCCGATAAACTGAATTTAAATGTCTACATGTATACAAATACGTAAAGAAAAAAGGTAAAGCTATCCCTGTAACAGGCCGTGGAGGTCCGTAAATTTGTGAGACGTCGAAACTCCCACATTTTCTAGAAAATCGGCTCACAGTTGGTGGTGAGTTTGTCAGTCTTACGCGCCGGCCACCCTTTACCCCCCCAGGAAGGTTCCTGGTACTCAATTCTCTTAGGGGCTGAGTCGACCCCAGGGCCATAGTGCGACTGGAAGGATTAAGTCAATTGAAAAATTCATTTAATTAAAATATAATCAGCGTGCTGCCTAGGTTTTTAATTTTCTATAGAAAGCTGGAACTAGGCAAAAAAATGCAAAATTATTTCAGCGAAATAAGATGACTCCAAAAGAAAATCTTATTTGTGTTTAAACTGATACAAAATCAGAGTTGTTTTATTGTTTCAAATAGTAATTATTATAATACAGTTTTGAAGCATACATTAAGCAGTTTATACATATATATTTTTTTTCTTTTAGTGCGTATAATAATAGAGAAGTGCAAATGAATATAAAATTAATAGGATATTCATTAAATACAGGCGTATAATTTTTATATCTAGCTGATTTCCATATACACGTATGCCGTCTAACGGGGAATAGTTGTATGAGAGTTGTGTGTTTGCTCACCGTAGTCTCAGTCATTCAGGCCATACGAGACAGTTCGTTACCTCCGGAATTACAGAACGTCACTTCTCTTTTTCCTATTACCGGCAGTTTATTTGGGTGAAGACTAGCCGATCACAGCAGGCGCAAGGTCTAAAGAATGAAATACCTTCGCTGACTCGAACACTAGGATCGTGGGTTCGAATCCCACTCAAGACATGGATGTTTGTCTGCATTTATTTCGTGTTTGTGTTAGGTAGCGGCCTTGCGACAGGCTGATCCCCCGTACAAGGAGTCATACCGACTGTCTAAGATTAAGAAGCTGAAGTGAAACGAAGCGTTTCATGGATGCCCCATGCTCCAAATGGGAGTAACAGGAATAAATATAGATAGATTCGAATTTGACGACCTAATTGTTATCATTCGTTTACAATGCCTTCCGCGATCTCACAATCATGTTTACATATTTATTATTCAAATTGAAGTATAAACACAAAACAATGCGAAAAGCGTAAATGTAAATGATAAAACTGTTTGAAACATTTTCCCCTCTAATAAGCACTTTACGGGTGGCACGCGGTAGCATATTTGGTTGAAGCACTATGCTACAACCCGGGTTCGAGTCCCGATGAGGTGGATTTTCTTTTATTGATCCAATCCTTCCAGCCTCACTATGGCCATGGGATCGACTCAGCCTCTAACAGAAATGAGTACCAGGAATCTTCCTAGGGGTAAATGGCGGCCGGCGCGTAAGGCTGACAATCTCACCGTCATCTGCGAACCTATTGTCTAGAAAATGTGGGAGCCTCGACGCCTCACAACCCTATGGGCCTCCACGGCCTGTTACAAAGATAGTTTTCCGTTTTTTTTTACATAATAAGCACTTTGCGATTTGTGCTCGAGATACGTGACGAAACGCATGTAAATTGTCCGACATTTGTGTCCAATTTTGAATAGAACTGGGTCGCATCAAAAGGTTTTAGTCTAACCGGACGGGTTGACACAGTGGTAATGCTTTAGACTCGCATTAGGAAGATGCTCCATTTCGAATCTCGCCCGGGATGCCGGCCATCCTAACAGAAGTTGCTTATGAACTTCCCAATTCGCCATTCGTCTGTCCTTCCATTCGACGCCATGTAGCTTACCTACTAACAGCGTCGAAAATAAGCTACAAATACAACGTAAAATGAGCCCGTTACGGGAGCCGAGCGGCCTAAGGCATGCGCTGTCTTTGCTCGCACGGAAGGCGGGATCGTCGGTTCCAATCCAACTCAGGGCATGGATGTTTAGTGTTTGTGTGTGTATGCGTTTTTCTATGTTTGTGTTTAGGTAGAGGCCTTGCGACGAGCTTATCACCCGCCCAAGGAGTCCTACCGAAGTGAAAAGGAGAGTTTCATGGAGGTAGGCCAAGGCCCAAATTGGGGCTGTAGCGCCAAAAGAAAAAAATAACGAGAAGTGTTTCAAGAATTCCCTACTTTTTACATGCGGATAGACAGATACAACAAAGTTATTAGGTGAATTTTTTGTAACTTTTCTTCGCGACAACTTAAAACACTGCTCAAAATGGAGACTCTTTCTATCCTTCTGTGCTACTTGGCCTGTTTATGATGCTGTGCCAACGTGTTGTGCTCTTGTCAGAACGAATGAGATTGAAAATTCCCGAAGGCAGCGATCCTAATCAGCTTTCAGTGAACGAATCATGGGAAATATGAAACACGTTATTTGGAATATCCTGTCTCTCAAGCGACTCTGAATACGAAGCAGGAGTGGTAATAATTGTGGATGACGCAACACATCAGTATGACTGTCTCGTGTGATAAATGCCTGACGGCATCGCCAATGCGACGCCATATTGCTTTTAAATATTCTCTTAAAACATTGATAACCTTGGAAACTTTCGAGGTGAAAATCGGTTCAGAATATTTGCATGAAAATTCAAGCATTAAATTATTGAATTTTTAGGAACTACTAGCAAAGTCGATATTGAAATTTCAACGGGAAGTTGTTGCCGTTATCAAAATAATTATTGAATTTTGTACATGAAGTCTATTACGAAAATATTTTCTGTTTACGTGCGATATTTCCTGCCTATATAGGCAGTCTGCTCCAAAGATAGCTAATCTTAAACCGAAAAATTCTGCCTTGACACATAAGAGAAGCTGAGCTCTGACACTTCTCAGTTGTATTCGGAAGGTGCCTTGTTCGAACTTGGGCCGGGACATCGACTGTTCGGACTAAGGATTTTCGTGGTTTCCCTCAGTACTGTCATGCTGTTATTCGATGCGATGCCCTGAACTAAGATCGGCTTCGTTCAACAATCTACAAACTTCAAGACAACTAAATTCATTCTATGATAAATAACGTGACCGTATAACGATATGAACTACCCGGTGCTTCTGTCTAGAGGTATGTGTACATTTTCTCGAAAAGCTGAACAAGGCAATATTTACTGAAGCATACAGTCCTCTGTCGTTTATTACTGTTATCTTCTGTTCCTGTTTATACGTAAGTGCTAACACTCAGACAGCTAAAATACGTAACGACAAAATTGCAATTATCAGCCTCTTTTATATGCGAATTTTTTTATTATAGCGTATAGAGCCGTTTTTAGGCAACAACTCGTTAAACACGTTCCCGCGGCAACGGATACACATGCAACAATAGAGGCATTGTTGGAAACGGTGTTTTCTACTCGGTCCGTATAAAGGGTTATAAGGAGGACAGCTGAAGAAAGAACAGACAGTTGGAAGGGAGCCACCGTTAGAGATGACTTGAGTCCGGAAGCAGCTCCTATCAAATATGACGAGAGGGGATGGAAGATTATGGGATACTTTGTCTTATTGCCAGTATAAGCAATAGAATTCATTCGGCAAGAAAGTGTGATAATAGGCATATATGAAATAAATGTTTGCTAGACATGAATGAAACCACATGACATAATACTTTATCAGCTTATCTTTCAGCTTATGTCCCTGTAGCATATTGCTTTGACTCATCCATATTCACGTCTAAACTTAATATAATGAAGAGAAATTATTAAATGTTAAAAATTAGACACCAACTATAAGGATTATTTGGGTGTTAAGGACGTTATTGTTTTAGAATCTTACCAATAAACATTTATGTTCTTCATTAAAGAACTCATTTTCCCATTTACGTTTATTTCTGCTTTAATTAGTATCAAAATTTGTCGATATTTCATAACCGATATTTATCGAATGTTTCGTCAACGATACATCGATCAAGAAGTCGCTTTGTGCGTCACGTTACATATAATCGAACGAGATGCCTATCGCGGATTATCCTTTGGCTAGAGTCGGAAAGGAGATGGCCGTATTTACGAAGCTAAGAAATTATTAATCAACTAAGAAATGGGTCAATAAGATGAACGGAATGCGCTAAAGTACTGACTATGAAATGAAGAAGAGGGAAGGACAGAACTACAGAAACTCTACTTGCTTTCCGTCGGATCTCAATCACGTGGGTTCGGTGTGTTTTGCAATCAGTGTCTACCAAACTGAACGGACTTGATCGTGTTCCTCGGCTGTACTGAAGACGCGGCACGTGAAAATAGGCGGAGCGTAACTCATACGACAAGTAGTGCTTCTGTGGTCATGACTCGCTGCTGTCTTCTCGCCGCAGTTGTGTTCCTCGCTGCTCGCGGTGAGTTCAACGACGCACTACCTCGAAGTAATTTGTTTCTCTCAAGGGACATTTCACATTGCTTTTGAAATACTCCCCTGAAGGTAAGATCGCATGATAATATCAGGATTCATCTTACAAAACGTTGTTGTAGACTGGTTAGCGGTCCTGCTTAGTATTCGGAAGGTCCCGGTTGTAATTATCGTGACTGACACTTTTCATGATTTTCCTCTCTCTCTCCAATGAAATTCCGGGGTAGTAGCCCAGCCTTAAGACCTCTTCATTCCACGTTCATTCTAATTAATTATTGACTAATCATCCTACAGTTCGATGCTATGCAGGCAGGGCTACTGACAAACGTGTTAATTCAATTACAAATAAATAAATAAATAAATAAACAAGTAAATAGGACTTAAAGAAATTCGGTCGGATTATTAAAATTGGATTCATCTGGCTGACGACAAGGGAAAATGGCGGGCTCTTATGCATACTGAAATTAGTAGATTCTAAAGGGTTCTGACGATGGTGTATAACACTCAGAACAGTTGGACTTTTGGATTTTGTCCATCGTCCATCCGAAACGTTGTGTGTTTTAGTTTCTAGAATACCGGATGATGGAAAATGTCCAAACCCCCAGTAATTCTGACTGAAATTAGTCTTCGGGTTTTGTAAAAGGGGCTACATTTATTGAGCATCTGAGGGACTATGAGAGTCTTAAAACGTCTCTGGTTCGTGGAGTTGGTTTGAAAGAGAACGTATTAATCCGTTGTGAAGACCTATTACGGAACTGGTTTGTCGTGTTTTTTTTTCTGAGAAGCTGTGATTCACTTCACGCTTACGTAAAGTAAGCTTCTTGTCCTTTTTATTTGAGTCTGAGAGCCGAGGTTTCGCAGTTACCACTGTTTCCTTCTTGTTCGGCAAATGTTCCATAACTATTTTAGATGATAAATGGTACTTGATGCCTGTATGTGTGATAGTTAGTGTTCAGTAGCATCAAACGAATTCCAAAATGCACATCATTATATCATCACCACCATCACACTTCTGAATTAATAACAGCGTTGTTAAATAAGCATCCACACATAAACTTAGGATTTGATGTTTTCAGAGCGGTGGTCTTCGTGGATATAAAGCCATATAGTCAAGTGAAAGTCAAACAACGCTTCGGAGGAACATGTTGCTTCCAATCTCAGAGTCGAAGACTAAGCCAAGCTACTTGCTTCATTCAGGTTTCTTTCATGGCCTATTCTTTGACTTTCAAGATTGAAATAACATGTTCCTCCGAAAAGTCGGTTGAATTTTAACTGCGTTATATCCATTGCTGTAAGGACCTGAATTTAGTTATTTACTTACTCTCATCGTTAAATATCTTAATAAAATTCGAACTGATGTTTATGTCCATTTTTACATCTGATTTTTTTAGTGTGGGTTTATATTGCATATTCTATAAGAGAAACGGTTCAACCATGAAAAATACTTGGGGGGGGGGGACACCCACACATTTGTCTGTACATCGGAATACTGTGACTGCTGCTTCATAATCTTAAGTTACCTGTGACAGAAGCATATTTAGCAACGCCCTTATTGTACAAGTCATCTTGAATAATAAGCCTTAGGTATATTTCTGGTTTTAGAGTAAAATACATCAGAGACATGGACTTACTTCCTTGTAATATAATTAGCATCAGTGTTCCAAGTTTATATATTTCTGTAACCACTCTGTCGAAAATGTCGTTCCTGCGAGCTACGCGCCGGGTCCACCATACAAATCTCCTTGCTCTAGCCTACGGTAGGCCGCACATCGGCATGCATCAAGACATGTAACAGTCAGAATCATGACTCAAACCGGTGTGCGGCCTACCTACAGTTTTCTTCATGTCCCAATCACGAACTGTCTCTCATTTATGTTTTCTCAAATAAAACTTCCAAGCATTCACTCATTAGCTTCGCCATCTTTGTCTGTCCGTATGTAAAAATTCTGGGAACCGCTGTATAGATTTTCATTAAATTTGATATTGGGGGAATTTTACTAAAATTCGTCGACTCATTCCAGTTTTAGTTACAGTTACAGAACAGCGACGAATATTCAGCATAAAGACTTACATGCATTTCTGGGAGCGCCAGAAAATTTATCGAAGCAAAAAGTATGTCGGACAGATGCTGTAAAGAAAATTACACATTGTATATGCAGTCAAAATTTTCGGAAAATCTTACCGGTTTCGAGGTTAGCAAATTGAGAGAAAGTATTATCCAACGTGTTCTATTGACCCTTGTAGTGCGTATTGGCAGCTGAAGTTTGGCACAGAATCAAAATTCAGCAAGGGCTGATAGTGTATAAAACTGAAATCGAGGCTTCGATTTGAATGGTTTTCTTGTTATTCGAATTGTTGTCCTAGGTAGACCAAATTTTGTGTTTTTCGGTCATCAGTACTGCCTCTGAGCCCTAGACATTTGAACGCATACATATCAGCTACACGTTTATTGTTTTCACACTCGATGTGGGAAATGAAGCTTCCAACGAAGATTGCCTAACAAACTTCTTGCAGCAGAGTTTACAACAAGCTGACAGTCTCTCAGTTGGCAATTATTTGTCCTTTTTGAAACCCGAAGAATCATTGCAGCATTCAGTAGCTTCTTAATGGGTCTCTGTCCTGACCCAGGTCTCGATATCACTGCAGTACAATCGATAAGTCAATGCAGAGTTTGCATGAATTGAAAGAGTGAGGTTAGGATCGGCGATCCGTTGCCCCAACTCCACTCTTACTTTCTTTTGTAGGATGGGCTCGCTTAACGTACAGGTCACGTCTGTGCCTTGTGGCTGACGAGAAGTGACCTTGGCGGGAAGAAAGTAAAGTCAGTCGGTTTCTCTCTGTTACACATAAGAGCAGTGATGTGTCATGCGATATTTTGGTACCACCAGAATCGAAGTATGCCGATCACAGCGGCCGCGCGGTCTAACGCATGAACCGTTTTTGCCCTATCAAACATTAGGTTCCTGGGTTCGAATCCCACTCGAGGTATGGACGTCTGTGTGCGTTTATTCTGTGTTTGTATTGTAGGGGTCTTGCAGCGGCCTGATCACTCACCCAAGAAGTCCTACCGGCTGTGTATAGGATTAAGAAGCTGAAAGACGGCCAAGGTCCAAAGGGCCTTAGAGCCATAGAGAAAGAAGGAAATCAAGATGTATGAATTGGGCGGGACGTGTAACACTTATGACTAGAAATGCATGCAAAATTTTAGTTGGAAAATCTGAATTAAAGGGACCACTTTGGAGCTCTAGGCGAATATATGAGGATAATATTAAAACGCATGTGAGAGAAATAAGGTTTGAGGATGCATATTGCATTTGTCTGACAGGATGTTTTGAATGCAGTATCTTGAAGTAGCTGAGCGATTCTTGACTTCTTATGGATAGCCTTGCTCCAGGGAATCGGTTAGTTTATTAGTTTGGTACAGGCTATTGAAACCCGTTATTTTCTTCGCCTGTTCCCTCAACGAAATGCGAATATGTGAGTGTGACATATATGAACTACGGCATGGATTTGTCAGCGGATTCAGATCCTTTGGCAACGCGCTGTTTCAAAATATTTCCTTGCGCCATCGAAAGGGATTGGACATGCTGAACATGACCTTTAGCTGTGAAGTACTCAAATCCTCGCAGCTGTGTGTAGCGGAGAGAAGCCGAAGTATATAAGTAATATGTACACACTACACACATGGAACTATGCCCATTTTCTTCTTTCTGTATAAGAAACAAGTTTTGTAAGAGCGAGATATAGCACTGTCATTACGCAATTTCGAGTTGTCATCGCAAAAAATTTCCGAACGTTTTCACGATGCTTGGGGCACGCTGAAGCGTAGTTGATTGAGGCACTCTGCTACAAGCCGGAAGGTCGCGGGTTCGAGTCCCGATGAGGTGGATTTTTCAATTTACCTATTTCTTCCAGCTGCACTATGGCCCTGGAGTCGACTCAGCCAACAGAAATGAGTACCAGGGATCTTCCTCGGGGGTAAAGGGCGGCCGGCGCATTAGGCTGAAAACCCTACCGCCATCTGTTAGCCGAATGTTTAGATAATGTGGGAGCCTCGACGTATCACAACCCTATGCTCCTCCATGCCCTGTTACAGGGATAGCTTCACCTTTCACGATGCATGGATGTAAGTTGTGTTGTAAGTCATGAGCCAGAAATATTTTATTTCGGTGTATCGTGTCTGTTCTGTAAGTATTGGTCGCATTTTGATCTATTCGTAGATATGTGAAATGAAGTATACTACATATGTACAGCAGACGATTTAATACTATTTATGCGTGCTATTCGAGGGAGGTGGCTTTAAACACTGGCCTAGACGCGTCATTCAGTGACACATTGGAATGTGAAGAAATGTGGGAGAGAAAATGGGAAGTTAATATCCAGGCATTTGCTTTGAGGAACTAAAGAACTCCACAAAAATTTCTTCATTATAGTCTGTGTCCCGAACTTTCCGAATACAAGCCAAAAGCGTTATAGTTTGAGCCAATTAGGTCAGCAGATCCTTATTGGGAAGCTAGTAATCACCAGCTTAACCAAGAAGTTCCTCATTAAAAAAACTCCGTGCCTTGTAGTCCGCAAACGAACTATACCGACCGAGCGACCGCCGCCTGTCGGCGAAGTTAGTACCAACTTTAGCGGATAGAGGGTGTCGCGTGGTCAGCGCAACAAATCCCCACGGCCGTTAATTTCGGTTTTCTAGACCGGAGCCACTATTTTCTTGAAATAACTCCTCAGTTATCCTCACGAGGCTGAGTGGACCCCGTTCCAGACCCTCTATTTCTCTTAAAATGCAGTAGCGCCGGGACCTATGGATCTGTAGTCAGGAGCTCTGACTATTAGACCACAGAGGCGTTCCTCATATTTTATTAAACTCGAAGTTTCATTATTGTGTTCATAAGAGAACGCCAGATGCGATCCGCTATACGAGTACATCCACAAACTTCACTTAACTTGCCCACATTTTAATGTTAACCTTCAACTGATACCAAAGGCCTCCGATGTGCAGATGTTCAGACTAAAATTCGTATGAATTTCTTGCCTCTCGCATTCATGTCTTTATGGTAAAGAAGCGAGAGTGAAGTGACCTTAAGCCGTGCCGTTATGCAACACCTGTTGCATCATGGGAGTCTGCACACACCTGTTGCCTGATTATCTACACTGAGGAGCAGTAGGTCTACATAGCTGAAACACAGATTAACTAATTCGTTGAGTATAGTCATGGCTGAAAGAGCTGAGACTGTCTCAGCCGATACAAATTGTCACATACATGTTAGAGTGACTCTCGACGGGAATTGGATTGATGACTGGATTTATTGACGGCTTACAGTTCGTAACTACAAATAATTAACAGCAGTCTCACTAAGTTACGCACCCCAAACATTGCTGTAACTACAGCACACATAAATTCTTCTCTGCACACTACGTTTCCTGGTAACGGGTTTTAACAGTGGAGATTCTTCAGCTTCTCTGCTAACTGCACGACAGAGTTTCCTTATTAGAGACTCCCTTACATTTCTCTCAGTGCTTCAACTATCTCCCAGGGTGGCGGCCATTTCACACCGACCTCATAGTCTTCTCTTCAGAGGCTGACTTTCAACTACGTACTCTCGTAACGACTGGTTGCCCCATACCATCCCGGTTATAACATCTAGGCACGGACCGCACAGAAAACACCACTGCTCTGTTGCTGTTCGGTTGTTGCCGTTCATTTGCCTCCTATCGAGAATCTTCTGCCTAGCAACGGGCGTTGTTCCCTTGTTTGTTACTCGGCCGTGGTATAGAAGCGAATGCTGTTTCAGAGCCGTTCACTAGCAACGGCTCTTTCTCTGACTCCACGGTTCTTGCTTTGAGTAAATATGCCACAATATATTGAATTTCAGCCGTCTGTTACACTGGTTAATCCTTTGGCTCGTAGGGACATTCTTGGAGGTGTAATTTAATGCCGTGTTCGTCACGGCAAAGAAGCTGCACCTCCAAGACTGCCCATATGAATTAACGATCCTTATACGTCTGAGTTCTTCATGACAATGAAGAATCTTCTGCATTCTGACACATCGTAGTCTGATACGTGGATACCATAATCTTGCCTCCACTTTCATAGTCGCACCATTTAATCTTGTAGGTGCATACAAGCGTTTCGGAGGAACATACTCTCTCCACCTTAAGAGTCGAGTCTACCCCGAAGCTAGAGGAGGCATGTTCTTCCGAAACGTTGGCGTCCACCTACAATACTGAACACGATCAAATTTCAGAATATCACAATCTGAACACTCACCGGCGCAAAAACACGAAAATCTGTACCATATACCTTTCTTAATAATCATATACTTGTACATAGGGTAGGCGGTTAGTTGCCGGCTTCCTACCGCAATAACCCGGGTTCGATTCCAGGTTTGTGGTGGACAAATTGGCAGTGGGACGGTTTTGCTCGGAATACATGGTAAATCATAAGTCCCTTCGGAACTTCCGAATTCGGCAGTTCAACAACCAAGAGAGAGACATCGGAAAGGAGCATACCAGTAGGTAGAGAATCTCTGGAAGTTTGAGTAATAGGCGCCTTGGCGTACTTGCAGGTTGAACCGTTAGGGGGCACTAGTGACTGAACATGTCGAGGACAAGAAATTTTCCCAAACTGAGCCAAATGTGACTGTGCAACGGAGGTTTCTGGCCAAGTAGCATACAGAAGAACCTACGGACAAAACAGTTCGTTAGTGGTATAAGACATTCCAGCAGAGTGGCTGTCTGTGCGTTGCGAAACGAAGAGACCGGCCGAGACTGTTGAGCTGTTGAGCGTGTGCGAGAAACGTTTGTCAGAAGCCCTAGAAATCAACATATTGCGCAAGCCGGGAATTGCGAATGTCTCAGTGAAGTGTGTGGCGCATTCTGCGCAAACGTCTTCACACGAAAGGATACCGGCTGCAGCTGTTACAAGCGTTGAATCCCCAGGATCACAGTCCTGCGTGAATTTCAAACAGCGGCTAGAGAAAGACGGGTTTCCTGAGAAGCTGAGCCGTCACAACGTACGCATCTGGGGCACGCGAAGTCCTCATGAAGGCTTGGAACACTTCCGTGATTCGGCTAAAGTGAATATGTTTCGTGCTGTTTCCTCTTGCAAAGCCTACAGAACATTTTTCTTTTGCGGAGTCAACTGTTGCCGGTATCAACTATCTGGACATGCTACAACTGCGGCTAATGCCGCAATTACAAGAAGGTAGCAAGGACTTTATTTTCCAACTAGACGAAACCCCGCACACTTAAATTTTGACGTCCGTACTGACAGTGCTAATCCTGCCGGTCGTTGGATTGAGCGCTGCTGACAATGACTCCCCTCTTCTTCCCTGGCCTCCACGGTCACCTGACCTAACCCCAGTGATTTTTTCGTATGGGTTTACATCAAGGACCGTATGTATATGCCCCCTATGCCACGTGATTTACTACAGCTGCGACAAAGGATCGTGGAGGCCGTTGCTGCCATCGACCGTGAGATGTGTGGCAGGAACTTCATGACAGGATTGATGTCTGCAGCATCACCAAGGGTGGCTATACCGAGCACCTGTAAAGTAGGACAGAAACTTGGAGTGTGTCTCCCTCTGTCGACATGCCCCCCCCCTCCCTAGTGACCATCCCGGCTACTGTACCGCTGAGTTCGCAAATCCCGGAGAGACTTATGAATTACCCTGTACTTCGATTTCCATTGTTAGTTCTCACTCCACCGGCTGCTCCGTACTTATCTATCAAGCAGGGCTCGTAAAATGGCTCCAGTTACCGGCGTATCAAGTGGACTCAGGCTTATCCCCCTTCTAAAAGAATTTACTCGTCTAAACGTACCCAGAAACGTCCCACTTGCATAAAATAATAATACGGAATACACAACAGAGACTCTCCTTACAGATGTAGCAAGGCACAGCATCTTTTGCGCAGCTTTCCCTCTTCACTGTTTGCCCAGCAAACCTGTAAGAGGCGCTAGTGGCGTTATGACATATGAAAAATAAACACACGTGTAGCTTCCTCGATACGTCACTTAACACGTACGTTTCCTTGTCACCATTCCTATTTACTCTGCCCGATTTGTTTTCTCTTCTTGACAACCTCAGAAACAGGTTATGCAACGGACATAGCTCACCGCGGCGACACGGTTTCGATCCAAGATCAGGTCTTGTGGAATCCGTGATGGACAAAGTGGCACTGGGGCGGATTTTCTCCGAGTAATTCTCTTTCCCCTGCCAATTCTCATTCCATCAAATGCACTACATCAGTTTAATTATCTGACGCCATATGATGGCTACGTGTTTACAAATATATTTCAGTCTTAAATTCAACTTTATATCTAGTCACCCTTCCTCCTCGCCACATGTTTCGGCCGTATACGGCCATTATCAGGAATTCTCTAGCTTGCTAAAATTGTTGCACACACTGTCAAAGTTTTATATCACATATCGTAGCAATATTTCCCATTTAAAATTAATTATGTTTGGAGATCTTAATGTTATTTCCGTTGTGGTCATCAACCATTCGTTCAAAAGATATTTGCTTGAGAGTGTTTCTCGTTTTGGATTTATTTGCGCTGCATTCCCTTTGCGGCATAGGTATTATCTGTAATTTATAAGTAATGTGTTGTGTTATATAATTTTATTTTTGGTTTTCCCATCCTAATCAGCACTTTATCACGTCTTTGGTCTTTAGCTTGGGGGGCTTAATCTTTGACCTGTCATTTAGCTGGTCACAAGGCAAGGGATTTAAATTAGGGGCCGCGCCATAGCTCAAGCGGTTAGTGGCTGGCTTCCCACCGCGGCGGCTCGGGTTCGATCCCGGGTCTGGTCAAGTGGGATTTTTGGTGCACAAAGTGGCGCTGGGGCGGGTTTTCTCCGAGTACTTCGGTTTCCCCTGCCAATCTTCATTCCACCAATTGCTCCACAGTCACCCTCACCTATCATCTGGGGCTGGTACAATAGGCCAGAAGTGGCCGCAGTTCAAGGGATTTAGTCCCACCCCACTAGCAATAAAAAAAAAAGATTTATATTTGTTTAAGAATGAATAATTCTGGTTGCAGTTCTGAGTCAGCGAGGCGGAGGTGGTCTGACGTGTCCGGAGAAGAACGGCCGGTTTCCAAGCCCTACGCGATGTGACACATATGTACAGTGTGAGGATGGAGTGCCCCAGGAGATTGTCTGCCCCGACGGTCTTCTGTTCAATGCCAAGGCACGATATTTCGCATATCCCTGCCAGTATCCTGTTGACGTGGACTGCGAGGGACGCGCTGGGCTGCGTTAGTAGTTTGCAGTCTCATAATTTCAAATTTAATTACTGTCAGTTAAATTAGCTGTAACATGTGCTCATTTTGCTTTCGGAACTGACCTAATATCGTTGTGATGTAGTGGGGAATTACTTCAGGGTTTATGCGCATGCGGATAACCTACCCAACATGGAGAAACTACGTGTGTATGACATGAGATGCGTGGGCAAATTAAAGTAGTGATTTATTTCTGTGCAACTGTTATATACTGTTACCGCTTCATATCGGACTGCCTTAAATAATTTACTTATTATTTTACTGAAGTAATTACTAGAAATATATTTATAATTATTTTAATTTTGCCATTTTATAAATATTATATCTTTATATGTAAAGTAAAAAGTAAAGATATCTCTGTAACAGGCCGTGAAGGCCCATAGGGTTGTGAGATGTTGAAGCTCCCACATTTTCTAGAAAAATCGGCTTACAGATGGCGGTGAAATTGTTAGTTTTACGAGCCGGCCGCCCTTTACCCCCAGGAATATTCCTGGTACTCAATTATGTTAGAGCCTGAGTCGATCCCAGGGCCATAGTGCGGCTGGAAGGATTAGGTGAATTGAAAGAATCCACCTCATCAGGCTTCGATCCCGCGACCTTCAAGCTTCTAGCATAGTGCCTCAACCAACTACGCTACCGCGTGCCCCGTATCTTTATATGTAAATAAAATAAATATTCGGTCATTAATTAAGCTATGTTTATGGCTTTTGTAATGTCTTCAGCTGGCAATGCGATGTTTCAGTGGAAATTTTCGAGATGTCAAGGTATGAGTCTGTCGCGTCCTTGACAGCTCTGTGCAGCCATATATTTATGAACTCGAAATTCGAAGGCGACACGCCCCAAGTTCAATGTGTTGCGCGTGTTGAAAGGGACTGCATAAGTGCCAGCCAACTAAATCTGTAATAAGGAAATTATGACGATGTTGCCCAGGCTGAATCTAGCCTATCAGTAGAGAGAGGATTAAATATTTCTGAAAAGTAGCAAATTTTTGTTTGTAGCGTTTTTTTTTTGTTTCCCCCCCCCCCTCCCCCAAAATGCTGGCTCTCGACGCTGACGATCACTTAGCGTCACCTTTTAACCTTTTATAGAAGAGCAGGCGTGTGCTGTTCGCCGTCACTAAATTTCTGTATTAAAGTTCAAAATTGAACTTAAGGATGTAAATCATTAAGGAAAGTGACGTATACAATTTGAAATTACATTCAAGTGGAATTTTTACAGGCAGAACTTCTTTTAAATTCAAGATTTCGAACTATGAATTTTCCACCAGTATGCGATTGAACGGGCAAGCGGTAGCATAGTTGGTTGAGGCACTCTGCTACAAGCCGGAAGGTCGCGGTTTCGATTCCCAATGTTACTGGATTTTTTTTTACAATTTACCTAATACTTCCAGCCGCACTATGGCCTTGTGGTCAACACAGCCTCTAACAGAAATCAGTACCAGGAATCTTGCTGGTGGGTAAAGGGCGGCCGGCGCGTAAAGCTGACCTCACAGCCATCTGTGAATCGATTATCTAGAAAATGTGGGAGCCTCGACATCTCACAGCCCCATGAGGTGACTTGCTTGTCCGAAATGTCGGTTGACTTTCAATGGAATATACGGTGTTAAATACCAGGAAATAGAACTCTTTTTATTGGACTGATATGAAAATAGTCCACGGCAGTATACACCGACAACCTACCTAGCTCGCTACTCAAGGTCGTTGTACCTTGTCTCAGCTGAATTGCATAACATCTGAAGTTGGTAGAACGTCGCTTCAGAAACGCAACAGTGTCAGTATCATAAAAGAGATGATCTCTCTGCGTTACATCAACTACAGATAATGACATACGGTTACGTAAAAATGAAGGAATAATAAATTACATTTCTTAGCTCCGCACGGACTGCACAGCAAACACAGTCAGCAACAGCTCCTCTGTTATTCTGTAACGTCACTGCTGTCTCGGAGAGGCGTTTATTGCGCCATCGCCTAGTAACGGGTGATGTATTTCGTGATGCGGGAGCATGTTTATTGGCCACTGCCTAAGCAATGGCTGTCTTCCCGGGTCCACCCTTCCACCTGTCAGCAAATATGTCACAGTATTCGATTGCAACATAATGTGTCCATGTGTTACAGAGACTCGCCAATCCACAGGCGACTGTCCCTACCAATATGGCTACTTCCGGCTTGGTGACAGCAGAAATTGTGGACAGTTCATGAATTGTGTGGACGGCCGAGGATATGTGTTCGACTGCCCTGAAGGACTTGCCTTCAACCAAGACACCTACCGCTGTGACTGGCCAGACGAGGTTGAATCCTGTGACGCAGAAGGTGAATATTGGCAAGAACACGTATTACTCCTATAAATAACGTTGGTAGTGGTTTCCAGAATCTTAGTAATTTATTTGGTAACCATCTAACCATTTCTGCATAGTTATGACTTCAGTAGTTCAGTCGGTATAGCGACGAGCTACGGACTAGAAGGCTGAGGTTCGACTCCCGACAGGGCCAAGATATTTTTCTGTACTCCACAGTGTCTGAGATCCATCCAGTCAATGGGTATGGGGTCAGTTTCACAGGACATAAGGCGGCTAGGCCGTGAAGCTCACTACTCACCTGAACCTAGTACCGAGATCAAGAAAATTGCAGCTATACCTCCACTCCAGCATACGCCTTTGTGGCATGGCGCTTAATTAATTGACGACAGGGGAAACTTTACCTTATTTCCTCACGCTGTGTTTCTGCGTTCTCCTTTATGACAGGTACCTTATCTTCCCTACCATTTGCTCTTTGCCTTCATTTCACTTTGAGCTCCTGTAAATCATTCTCTACATCTTCCAGTCACCTCAGTCTGAACCTTCCTGCTTTTCTTCTACCACTTGGCTTATAATCAGAAATGTTCTCAGCTATCTATGTTCAATCCATTCTAGTGATATTCTAAGAATTTCTCGTTTTAATAGCTGCTATCATATCAAGTATTTTAGATAATTTTGCCATTTCTGGATTTTTTTTATTGTGTTTTTTAATTGCTAGTGGGTTGGCACTAAGTCCCTTATACTGCGGCCACTTCTGGCCTATTGTACCAGCCTCAGATGATAGGTGAGGGTGATTGTGGAACAATTGGTGGAATGAAGATTGGCAGGGGAAACCGAAGTACTCAGAGAAAACCTGCCCCAGCGCCACTTTGTACACCACAAGTCCCACTTGATCAGACCCAGGATTGAACCCGGGCCGCCGTGGTTGGAAGCTAATGACTAACCGCTTGAGCTATGGCGCGGCCCCATTTCTCGATTAATCCTGATTCTCTAATCCCCTCGCTCAGTTGCTGAACAGTACACATTCATAAAACATTTTCCCACCCACATATTAATTGGTAAATTATGCATGACAAATTATATAAGATTTTGCTCTATGATATCTATACCCCTTACGATATTTTAAAAACCATCCGCATAACGCTTCTTGGTTTCAGTTGAAATCAGTACCATGGGTGTACAACTTATGGAGAAGGTATCACGCGACTGTGCTGGGGCACGTATGAGCTTCATGGATGGTTTTCCCCCAATATAGCCGAAAGTCATAACCGGTTACAATGGCCAGATGTGCTCTCAACTGACAATCCTTATTTCTCTACTATATTCACTTCTAAGCGAAATGTTATCTATGCTTTTCATTTAGTTATTTATATAGAGCTAGATTCCTTACTTATTTTACTCGTTATACAGGAATTTTAAATTTTTGGCATAGGTATAAATTTAGTAATTTAAGCAGATCAAAAAACAAACATATATTCATGTCTCGAGTGGGACTTGAACCCACGACACCATTGTTTGAGCCATCATAGATAGCACGTACATTAGACAGGAGGGCCACTGTGATGGATTGTTTCGAGTAACATAAAGGTAAAGCTGTCCCTGTGCTTAACTAATTAAGCACTATGCCATGAAGGTGTATGGGGATGGATGTATACATCCACATTTTCTTGAACCCGGCACTAGTTGGAAGTGAGTGGTCAACTTCACGCCCAGGCAGCTTTACCCCCAAAGAAAGAGCCCATGGTACCCAATACATAGGAGGTTGGGTGGACCCCAGAGCCAGTGTGGACGACGTCGAGAAGAGAAAATACTTGACCCTACCGGAACTCGAACTCCGACCCCTGGGTTGTCCAGCCCTTAGCCAGTCGCTATACCAACTGAGCTATCCTGGGTCAAAACAGTGAAACTGAAGAATATTATTTTCCACGATATAACGATGTGTAGTCCGTTGAAAATCATCATGCATTTTGGAGGAACATTTTCAGGGTCGAATAAGCCAAAAAAGACACCAGCATGAAGCAGGAGCAAGCCGAGATTATTCGACTTACTCGACCCTGAAGATGAAGGCTATATGTTCCTCCGAAACGTCGGTTGACTTTTAACAGACTACACGGCGTTATATCCCAGAAGATAGTACTCTTCATAACTACCACTGTGAGAACCTCATATCCTAAACAGTGAAAATGGAAAGAAAAAATTGCACTTCTGTATGAATATCTTGTTCAAGCCTTGGAACATATCATAAAAAGCCCGAACTTTAATCTTTGCAGCGTTCCTCGGTTTTAAATGCCCGGATGCCCCCGGTGTGTTTGGAGATGATTTCCGTTTCTACAGGAATCCTGCTGAATGCCAGAAATACTTCATCTGCGTAAATGGTCGACCCAGACTGTACAGCTGTGGAGAAGGTTATGCCTTCAACGACGACATCGGAGGCTGCGATGGCATTGAGAACGTCACCAGCTGGTCAGTAGATTTTGACTAGATACACAGTATCCTGTTTGAGGCTCTACGAGGGTACCTGCAGGCAAACGCATGGTTAGTACAGTGTGATTCTCTCGCTAGGAAACTCAATAACGTCTTCATTTTTGTATGGTTCCCCATGAAAATTGACACATAAAAGCTTACATCTATCGAAGCTTACTTACAACAAGATGGCGTAACGTGCCACACAGCCAATGCAAACATAAGGGCAACTGAAAGTTATTTCGGTGACCGATTCATTTCGAAAAATCAGTGGCCACCAAGACCACCAAACCTGACACCACATAATTTTTTTTCTTGTGGGGTTTACTGTTTGTATCCGTTTATACAACAATAAGCCGTGAACAACTGACACCCTCAAAGATGTCATAGTGCGAGAGGTTACTGCCATTACTAGATGTCTTCACCAATTTGCAGACTCGCATATAAAAGTTCTTGGATGCTGAAGGCAGCCATTTTCAGCACATGCACCAGGTAGATCTTGTTTTGCAACATACAAGGTAAGTACACATCATTTTTCATAGGGAACCATACGAAAATTAAAAAGTTATTGAGGAATGTTTGGGCTTCCTTGTGAAATAATCACATTGTACTTCAATTAGGTTACGTCTACTTCCTTCTCACAGCCATTCCAATTCATTTTTCACTCGTCCTATCATTAGAAGCTACACAAAGTAATTCAGTAGAGGCCAGCGAAACTGTATGAGTATTATAATCATGTGATTCTGTGTAAAGAAATAGTCTTGTTACCATGGGCGCATTTTGGAAAGATGGGGGAGGCATTGCAGTTTCAAAGTCAGATGAAGACATATCACATAAGATTTCTGAATGAAATGGTTTGCAATAACCTCACTGCCAAATTGAAGTAAATATTATATAAATCCACGAGGGAGGAACCAGCATAAGCAGGTGCCAACTACTCACCCTGGTTCCTCGCTCAAGGATTTTTCTTTTTTCTTCTACCCTGAAGATGGAGGCGATACGTTCCCCCAAAATGTTGGTTAATACAATATCTACATGGCGCCACATCCCCAAAGATGGCTTTCTTCAATGTCATTGGTTGTTTCATGTATTGTAAAAAATCTGAGAAAATGTAAACTTATTTTATATTTTGTTTTTCAGCACGTTGCCAGTAGGTGGCTCACCAGCACCCATTCCAATTAGACGAGGCTGACAACCCTTGCCTTGTGACTATGAGTATGCGTGGCAAAATTGGTTATAAATAAAGGAGAGTCCACACTTATCCCGGATTCTGTATTCACTATACAAAAACATTTCTATCTGCTGATAGAGGAGTGAACAATTATTGTTTACTTTGGTGCCAGGTGGATCCATTTCGAAGTGACTGCTGGCTGAAGAAGCACAAGAAAATATCTTGTACTTTGAAGATGGAGGCAACAGGTACCTGTGAAACATTGGTAACCCTCTACCAAACTACATAATATCACATTTGACAAACTGTAATCTTCACACTCAACACAGAAAGGAGCTGAAATCTCTCAAAGATCGGTAGTTCAAAAATAGATATCAGTTTATTTGTACTGACTCAAATACACTTTACATATACTTACACACTGAAGATAAGAATTGCATTATTGATGAGTTTGTGCAGGATATCCTAATCTCTTGAATGGTGTTTTTAAGGTCTTGAAGATACAAATTAATCCAAATATAGAATGGGCCTCACTGAAATTTCTCATACCCAGTTACAGATACAGTAACGTGAAAATTGTAAATAATTCTCTTAGAAACCGGAAACACTCAGAAGTCAAATGTTGGGTTTCCTTTCTGGAATAGAGGTACTTCCTCTATATTGTGAATGAGACAGAATTCAATAAGGCCGTGTGGCAGAGAGTCAGTAAACCTGAAACCTCTCATATTAACAGGTACGTTAAACTTGCCAGTAAATTTGTAAAAGGCGTTACAGCGTTGTGAGTTATGTATTGAACATTTTTAATTCAGTAATTGAATGGAGAAATTTCTGTCGTATTTTGGTGTATATTTTACTATCCGGTTAACTGACTTTTTGACCACTCTGTATATTTTCACAGTCATGAACAGAACTGAATTTTCTGTTGATATATTTTGGTATAGTTCGTTTGCGGTCTAAAATCAGGGAGCTTGTTAGTTTTTGTTTTGAATATTTCATTGCACAAAACGATTTTTGTAACTCCGAATGCATTTTAAGACTAATTAATGAAGTACTTAATCAGCTCTTTTTAGCAGGATAACACATTGCTGTATTATTTCTATTAAATGTCATTTATACAGTTTTCCTACTCTTTGTTGGAAGCGTTTTATTTCAAATTGAACCCTAGCTGTCAACCTTTTTAGTTTCCTTGGTCGTTACCTGCTTCCCTCACATTCTCCGCAACATATTGTGTTGTGTAGCCTCGTTTCCACTGTTGCACAACTTGGCAACCGACCGTTTATCAAGGGTCTGTCTTCGTGGTGACTCGTTCCACCTCCCATTGCCCCGCAACGGTTAGACATGTCACATGTGACGTGGATGGCGCAACAGGAAATAGGGGTCACATGAACTCTGCGTTTCCACTGTTGCATAACTTGGCAACTGACCGTTTATCAAGGGTCTGTCTTCGTGGTAACTCGTTCCACCTCCCATTGCCCAGCAATGGTTAGACATGTCACAATATATTCTTTATTTCCTATTTTATAATTACATGTATGAATATTAGGATGTTGTATTAATATGTTAATTTTGTTGATTGCCTCTAATATGAGGGAGAGTCAGTAAGTAGGTCACAAATGGAAGTGAAACAGCTGTAAAGGACGTAATAGGTTTTCTACATGTATCATTAGGTGGCAGCACAGTACAACTTCATGACACACAAGGTACCAGACGCACATGCGCATATTGAGAGGCTATTTTCAGGAGTCAAAATGGCGACCATTCTTGAGTGTATACTACCGAAGAGAAGTGTGCTGTTGTGCGTTTTTCTGTCAACAGAAGGACTTCGTGCAAAAGATATTCATGAAGAATTGTGTAAGATCAGAGGAAAGTATCGCCTCCATTTTCAGGGTAGAAAAATCCGTGAGCAAGGAACCAGCACTGCATTCCAGAAGGTGGCATTCTACATGAAGAATTATTTCCTGTTTGTGTTGAGAAGTGTTTGTTGCATAAAGCGTAAAGTGGAGATGCACAAGCATGTTGCTAACTAATGTGTGGGCATTGCTTCATCTGAACTGATCAAGGAATTTTGTATGAGCAATGTCTTTGCTTTCTTCTACAGGAAACTCTGTGGTTCAATGAATCGTTTTTCTTTAGGAAATACAGCACATGAGATGCAGCACTAAGCTAAAGAATTACGTGCGTTCATAATATTGTTCATTTTAATTTAGATTATGAGTGAAACATTAACATATGTTCAAATTAAAAAAGTAAAATTATATATCTTTATATACACATAGAACCATGCAATAAACGAAGAATCCGATAAGAAGTTATTTCATGAGATTGATGGCGCTTTGTGGAAGTGTCAAACAGGGTGTATATAATTTTTAAGCGCATTCTTTTTATCCATTCTTTTTTCAGGTTAGAAACGGATAACGTATTTTATTATAAGACTGGAAATTGTTTCATGAACGTGTTACATTTCTTTCAGAAACATTTTTTATATCTCTCCTTGTTCGCCCTCATAGAGTTAATTCTTCAGAATGTAATTATTATTGTTTTGTAATGGAGAATTTTCTGTACAAGGACTGCTGCCTTATCATGGAGAGGAGGTTTGCGTGGCCCAATGACCCGGAGACCAGGAGCTTCAGCTCCTGGTAGAGCCCCCCCCATATCAGACAGATAAAACAATAAGGGCCATATGAAGTGTAGCCCCTGGTCCTCCAGGTTGAGGAGGGCTTGGGGCTAAAGATTCCACACCAGAAAAAATTACTGTCACAAAACCATAGAGGAGGCCAAGACCCACACAGAGTTTCAGCTCCAGTAAATAACAGAAGATTGGAATGATTCACATCATTTAAATTAACAATCATGAATCACTTCCTGGCTAACTCCATTAAAACATAATGCAGCCAGATTCCCATCAATCTATATAACTTTGAGGCATCAGAAATGCTGCTAGGCAGCACATGAGAAACTTCTAGATCAGTGATACAGGCTAGCCAAACAGTATGCTACAGGTAATGTAATGGGATGTAATCTTAAGAGAGTTACACATGGTTGGAAGTTCCATTCCGTTGAAAATTTTGATTGAAATCCTCTAGTATCCTACCTCAGAATCGCGCCCGTCCTCGCCTCGTGTGTGTGTGTGTGTGTTCTGGATGGTAGTGAATTACAAAGTACGAAAGAAGTATACCCTCTGGCAACATGACGTGCTGTGCCCCACTGTGTTATGAAAAAGAATGTGATCATTTTATTACAGCCAAATGTAATAGCATTTTAATAGCATCTATATAAATAAAAAGACCCATCAGATATTGTTAATGTACAGACCATGGTGTTGAATTATTAGGCAAAGTGACCCATTAAAGAAGATGGACACAGAACTGAAAACGCGGGAAGAGCACTTCAGAATGTCCTGGCTGTTCCATTTGTGTCGGACAATTTTTATGTTGAATTTATAACAATACAATATCTTGTTGAGATGTGGCAATAATCGTGGACCTTTTACAATCCCATCCCATCAGACAACTTGTATTGCAGTTATAATGGTTGCTATTTGTATTCTTCGCGATGTAGGTTAGCATAATGACAATCTGCACGCTGGAAGACCAGGGTTTAATACTCGAGAGGGGAATGAATTTTATTTTCCCCACCGCGACAGGACCAGCTCTGGGTTCCACTCAGCTTCCTATATAATATGAACTTGTGTCCACTACTCCAGGAAAAGCGACCAGAGCGTGAACTTGACCACTCCTTTGTATGTAATTCTGAGGTTAAGAATGAGCTGAGCATTATCTCCATGCCTCCATGCATCTTCATGTACCTTTACTTTTGCTTTCAGTCTGGTATCAAGCATAGGGTTTTCACTACTAAATGCATACCTATCAGGTTTACATTGTAGGCACTCACTCATGGGGCTGAGCCTTTCTTGAGAAGCCGCCAATTGTGCAGTTACTCTAGAACTTACCAGCATTTTATGGAATCCCAAAGCTCATTATTGTGTTCACAAATGCCCTCCACTGGCCACTATCCTGAGCCAGATCGATCCAGTCCATGCCATTCCATCCTATCTCTCTAAGATCCATTGTAATATCATCCACCCACCTACGTCTTTGTCTTCCTAGTGGTCTTTTCCTTCTGGCTTTCCCACCAATATCCTATATACATTCCTCTTCGCCCCAATTTGAGCTACATGCCCTGCCCATTTCATCCTCCTTGTCTTGATCATTCTAATTATACTTGGAGTAGGATACAAGTTATGAAGCTCCTCATTATGCAGTTTTCTCGAACCTCCTGTCACTCCATCTCTCTTCGGTCCAAATATTCTGCTCAAAACCCTGTTCTCAAACATCTTCAGTCTATGTTCCTCCCTTAATGTCAGAAACAAAGTTTCACACCCATACAGAACCACAGGCAAAATTATAGTTCTGTATATTCTAATTTCTATGTTTTTGGAAGGCAGACAAGAAGACAAAAGGTTCTGCACTCAATTGTAGCAAGCATTACCCTAATTCAATTCCATCTTAATTTCCTCCTAGGTTTTGATTTGTTATAGTATTTCCCAAATATCTGAACTGTGCCACATTTTCAGAACACCTGTTAGCTGACCCTGTGTCATGAATTTGCCATGCATTCCGGTGATGTGACAGCAACATATACTTACTGTAGTTTTCTCTGTGTTTCCTTCTAGACCAATCTTCTTGCTGACTAATAACTAATATTATTACCCCCGGTTCGCGGGTAGGAATTTGATAATCACTTTTCCCGCTCGATATACTCAGTCGAGAACAGTATCGACTGTATGTACTAAGAGTGGCCAGTGGAGGGCAGCAGTTTCTCTGTCGATCAACTTGCATTCTTGTGGCTGAATTCAGTACTATTCTGCATTGTTTCCTTTCAAGTAGCGGTCTCTATCGTTAGAATGTTTCAGTTCACGCATCGAGTACACACTGTTTGAGTGAGCACCGCATTGCGTGTTGCATATCGACAGCATCCTGTTCGCGGTGTTTGCAAGAGTAACGTTTTCTCTTTCTTTATATGATGTTTGCGGGTTTACGGGGTGCGCTATAAGGGGATAATTGGGTGTGGGTGAACAAGAGGGGGGTGCATCAAACTCGTCCCTGCGGCAGTAGGTTGAAACGTCTTGGCGTGCTAAGATGTTTGTGTCATGGTCATCTGGTACAAGAGATGATGGAGCTCAGATGGTTAGTGTTGTCATGTGTTGCCGTCAGCGTCGTCAGTATACCGTCGTTGGTTGTCATGTGCGTCCAGTGATAGTGAATTATTTGTTACTTTAAACTGTGTGGTGAAACAGCACAGCTGCAAGAAAGCAGGTATGGCTATATTACATAGGACTACCAAGTAATGCTGTAGAGTTGTAAATAATACCGATGGTGTGGTGATCCTCTCGAAGGAATTCTTGTAAGTTATGACATTGGCTCCAAAGGTTAAACGTCTTGGGAACGTGTGTTAGTTGTAGTTTTGCATTTCAGAGTTGTCTCTGATGGATTTGTAGAGTGTGCAAATACTCCAGACTTGTTTTCGAGAAATATTTAGAATTCTGTACCAAGAATAAATAACATTCATTTGTCGATTTAAGTGAGCGGAGACATATCATTTGACGTATTTAACTAACCGAGGTGTTTACAGTTACTTCTCGGAGGTTTTAGACCAGACAGAAGAATTAACACAATATTGGAAAGCACAAACAAGCCCAAGTAATAATGAGGAGTTTAACACACGCGTGGGGAGAGCAGTGAACCGCTGATAGTTTATATAGTCGTATCGACATTTTAAACCGGAATAATCGCCTACAGGTATTCCGTCTTCTAAAGAATTTAAAATGTCTCATGGATGTTTTGTTGCTTTAAAATTTTGCTTTTTGTGACGTACAGTTTGTCCTTTTCAATCGAACGCTGGAATTATGAAAAGTTCGTTTGTAGTTGTTACGTAAACAGAATACTAAATGCAATAGCCTTTTATATTGTCATAACTTTTCGTGGGTTTATTTAGCGTTAAGTACTCGTACAGTGGAAACATTCGGTATGAATAAGCGGCAACACTAGTATTCGGAAGGTGCCGGTTCAAGTCTCAGTAGGAATTTTTTCTCGTTTTCTTCATTCCATCCAGGAAAATTCCAGGCTAGTACCTCAAACTAGGCAACTACCCCTCTCTTCTTTCCGTCTCGAATTCATTGTTCATTCTCATCCAAACATTTGACGCTAGGTGTTGTCTGAGTTACTGACAGTTATTTATTCCTCTTAGAATTGTAGCATTTTCATAAATTTCTTCCATCTTTCAAAAGGAATACCAAACAGAACAGTAAGGAACAAATTTTTATAATCACATTTATTTTTATAATGGGAAGTGCAGCGTCCAGTGAAAAGAACATAGTGTCATATGTACGCCTTTTGTACTGAAATAAATGTAATTGTTGCCGTGACGTATTAAGCACCACGCCACTAGGACATATGAGGGAGTTAAATCAAACTTTCAAAACTTTTTCTTTTTCCGAATTCACAGTCTAAATTCTTCCATTTTCTTTTTTGCTCCTTCCCCCAGTTTCTTGAACAACGCTTTGCTTTGTTTGAACTGTACTTGAATAATTCTTAAATTATTTCACAACTGTATTAATCTACCGGGATCGGTCACGCGGTAGCGTAGTTGGTTTAGGCACCATGCCACAAGCCGGTAGATCGCGGGTTCGATTCCCGATGAGATCATTGGATTTGTCAGTTTACTTAATCATGGCCCTGGGGTCGACTCGGCGTATGACTGAAATGAGTACCAGGAATCTTCCGAGGGGGGTGGGGTAAAGAGCGGCCGGCGCGTAAGGCTTCCAAACTTGCCGCCATCTGTGAGCCGATTGTTTAGAAAATGTGGGAACCTCGACGTCTCACAACCCTATGGGCCTCCATGGCCTATTACAGGGATACGGTACTACATAAATTATATGTGGATAAGACAGTGGTGGGTGAGCAAGAATTTGGAAGGACGCAGCCTTAGCCTATACGTTCACCAAAGGCGATACTGGAAAATAAGAAAATAACAGATAATCCAGACGCGATTGGATCCCGGTTTGTCGCGAATATAAGTCCAGAATTTGTTAGTACATCACTTGCTAACTCAGCCAGTGATGAACTTAAGCAAGACGTGTTGTAATATACCAGTGTTTGTCCTTGAAGTTTTGAATCATCAGCAGGAAGAGAGCGGTTGTTTTGTTGAATTGTGCAAGGGAACGAAGTTCAGTTTGTTCCTTTATAAGCATGTAATTGAATGTTAATATGTGCTGCCTTAATTTAGTAACCGTCCTGACAAAACCACAGACACGAAAGGAAAAACTATTCCTGCTCGCTTCTTGTCCCTCTGCTCCACCTTCCGTTGCATTGGCGGCGGTGACGTTACTGGATAAGTATGGGACATAACAAGCGATACGATATGATCATTGGGTCAACGGGAATGTGGGAAGTACATACCGTGAACTAATTCAGTAAACACTGTGATCTTATGAGGAAAATCACAGATCGAATACCCATCCTTCCGCCAAGGTAATCTCCCGAATACAATTTTCCGATATTATCACTAGAGCTTTTATGTTAAATTAATAAGTAAATTAAGTAAAAGTAAAGGTATATCCCTGTAAGAGGCCATGGAGGCGCATAGAGTTGTGAGATGTTGAGGTTCCCACATTTTCTAGACAATCGGCTCATAGATGGCGGTATGGTTGTCAGCCTTGCGTGCCGGCCGCCATTTACCACCAAGATTATTCCTGGTACTCATTTCTGTTAGAGGCTGTGTCGACCCCAGGACCATAGTGCGACTGGAAGGATTGGGTCAATAAATAAAATAATTCCCCTTCGTCGGGACTCGAAGCCGGGTTGTAGCATAGTGCTTCAACCAACTACGCTACCACGTTTCCCTTATTTTGCAATATTGCTTTTTGGGGATAATTTATGACGCTGTCTGTATCTAGACTGTACATGATCGAATATTACGATGATTGATGATGAATGATGAAATAGAAAGGGTTTGAAAGGAAGCGATCGTGACGTAATCGATGTGCTGTCCCGTGATTTGTCTGACGGGACTTACGACTATAAAGACTACAAAAGACCTCACTGAAGATACTCGACGTCCAGGAAGAAATTTGGTAGTAGAGCTTACTGAATGTGTCTGGAGCATTGCCATAGTATTGTTTTAATAATAATAATAATAATAATAATCGTAGCCGGGGTAATGTAGTCGGTATAGCGACTGGATACGGGCTGGATGACGGAGGGATCGGAGTTCGAATTCCGGTAGGGTCAAGAATTTTCACTTCTACATGTCGTCCAGACCGACTCTGGTGCCCACCCAATCTCCTATCCAGTGGGTACCTGGGGGTAAAGCGTCCGGGGCGTGAAGCTGACCACCTCCACTAGTGCCGAGTTCAAGAAAACGTGGATCTATACATCCACTCCTCCATACGCCTTCACGGCCTAGTGCTTAATATTTGGACCGAAGAAGGAAGAAATGGTAGGAGGCTGGAGCATATTGCATAATGAGGAGCTTCTCCAAGTATAATGAGATTGACCGAATGAAGGAGGATGATATGAGACGGGCATGTAGCACACATGGGGAAGAAGAGGAATGTATATAGGATACTGGTGGGAAAGCCAGAAGGAAAGAGACCACTGGGAAGATCTAGACATAGGTGGTTCGACAGTGTTAAAATAGATCGTAGAGAGGTAGGATGGAATGGTATGGACTGGATTGATCTGGCTCAGGATAGGGATCAGCGGAGGGCTCTTATGAACGCGGCAATGAACCATCGGATTGCACAAAATACTGGGAAATTCTTGAGTAGCTGAGCGACTGGTGGCTTCCCAAGAAGTACTCAGCTCTATGGAGTTGGCAAGTTATGGTTTATTTAACGACGCTGCCCGTAGCTCAGGTTCAGTGGGCAAGGCATGTACTACACACGCACGTGTGAGAAATTCATGCAGTTTATTTTGTCGAAAAAAAACGAAAGGGAAGAGTCCACTTGAAAGAACTAGTCACAGATGGGAGGATACATTAAAACGGATATTGAAGGAATTGGGTGACAGTGTGAACTGGATTTATTTTCCTCGGTGTAGGAACCATTGGTAGTCATCTTAATTCTCTTTTAATATCCCATGAAATAGTCTTCTGACACCTCAGTACATAAAGGTAAGGTGAAGCTATCCCTGGAACAGGCCGTGGAGACCCATAGGATTGTGAGAGGTCGAGGCTCCCACATTTTCTAGACAATTGGCTCATAGATAGCATTAAGGTTGTCAGCCTTATGCGCCGGCCGCCCTTTACTCCCCAGGAAGTTCCCTGGTACTCATTTCTGTTAGAGGCCGAGTCGACTCCAGGGCCATAGTGCGGCTGGTAAGATTAGGTCCAACGAAAAAAAATCCACCTCATCGGGATTGGAACTCGCCGCGACCTTCCGACTTGTAGCATAGTTCCTCAACCAACTATGCTACTGCTTATCCCAATACCTCAATACATTCAGGCCCTATACATAAGTGGCGGGAAAAAAAAATGTTAACACAATAGTGCCTTGCGGTGATTCCAAAACTGTGATCATGAAACGTAGGTTACACGTACCATGCCCATGATTTCCTGCGTTTTCTTTATGGAACGACTCGCTCTATATGAACACCTAATCTGTTGCTGGAAATAGGTGCAATAAATTTAAATAAATTAGCCATAAGAGCTCAGACCCACACTCCAGAAACTATCCATTTCCTGTTTGATATCAGGCTGAAAGCGTCAAAATACAAACCATAAATTCTTCCTCCTGCCTCAGATCAGATCCCGGTCGTTCAGTACAAATGCGTTCAGTACTGCTTCGAACGAGCAGAAAGTATATAAACAAAAGATAAGGAACCAGTTAATTGTAAAACTGCTAATTATAGCTAGTATGTTATAATTACCAAGCATTTAAACTGTATCCAGTGTGAATTTAAAGGATTTGCTTGCAACGCGATATCTGTTCTGCAGCTGTCTCTACAAATAGGCCATTCCGTGCCTCCTCACAGAACCAGAGCTTAGTTGCAGCTTTCTCTGTAATTTATAGTGATACGATTACTTGGTGGCATTTAAATGGTAGGGTGTACGGAGGGTTGAACCAACCCTATACCACCAGCTCGCAGGTGTGAGAAAACAACTTCACGTTATATGAGACAAACTCCGTCCTAAGTCCAACAATTTAATTGTAGTTCTTTCTTCTTTCCTTCCTCTACACTACATGTTTCGGCCCTAAATGGCCATCATCAGGTGTATATTCTTACGTAGCTGCTACACTGCCCGTAGTTTAAAATTT